ATTAGCGAGTATAATCTTATTTTAATAAGCTTCAATGTGTTTTACACGCAAAGTGTTATCTTTGTAAATTATGTTTCTCATTTTTTAAACATCTTAGATTATGCAATTTTAATGCAGTAGCTTCACACGATAATGTTGACAGCAGCAAAAAATTTTAATAAAATAAAATTTTATAAACTTGTGATATTAACGCGCGTCTTGCAAGTTCAATGTTCAATATGACATTCAGCGCTTGTAATAACACGTGTTCAAGAATGCATTTTTATTAGAAATGACTTTCGAGAAAAAAAGAAAGAAGAAGAAAAAGAAATCATACTGAGATAAAACGATTAATTCGATAAATCCTAACTCATATGTAATTTTCAAACTTGTAACCGGAAATATAAAAATTAATTAACCTATGTAGTACCGATGTATTTTGCTGTCCTAAATCTATCATTACTTCCGTAAGCAATTTGTAATACAAGAATTAACATAAGCATTACCGTAATGGGTATTCTGATAGAGTCTTCGCGAATTTTACTACTTTATCATATTAGTTTGTCTTATTTTGTCATGTCAGTCGCTGAACATAACCAGATATTTTATAATACCGATATGAATCAAGATTTCTGTATAACTTCTAACACATATTCGAAATGATTGTATTTCCATATTGGGCTAATACAAAATTTAAGCATTATATACCTTTCAAATTCAAGAAAGTTACTTTGTTCCACATAAACATGGACTGAACTTATGTAATGCTGCAACCACATATTTATTTCTATTTTCTGTGTATGTTGATTCTGTAATGAGCGTATTAGTGAAAGATGTATTGTATGTTACATGTTAGAATTATTAAAACACCACAATGTTTTATACAGATTTTATCTTGTGGGAGAATCCTGAATCAATTTCAATTTAATATCAAACGGAATTCATCATCTTTACAAATTAGAGATAAAAAAGTAATACAACCGGAACGATCTTTTAAGGTATGCTTTATTAAAAGATATTTCAATAATTTCTTGAAATAATTATTTTAACTGAAACTTATAAATGCTATATTTTGTAGTATGCAGATCTAACAGTCCGTCTTGCAGGACCAGACCAATTACAACCAAAGCCCAATGTCAGTGCTTTAGCATTTGGTAAATATTTTACAGATCACATGTTAAAGATATTTTATCATGAAACATTAGGAGGATGGCAAATACCAGAAATTACACCTCTTGAAAAGTTGGTTCTCCATCCAGCATCGAAAGTTCTTCACTATGCTGTAGAGGTAAATGCAACTTATATTTCATAAAGTTTCCTATTCATTTCTATTATTTAACAGCATTTACTGGTGTATGCACTGTATGCATTATTTCAGTTGTTTGAAGGTCTAAAAGCTTATAGAGGAGTAGATGGGAAGATAAGAATATTTCGACCAGAACTAAATATGGAACGGATGAACAATTCAGCAATGAGAACTGGCCTACCTACGTTCATAGGAGAAGAATTAATTAAATGTTGTTGTAGATTAATTAGTATTGATCAAGAATGGGTACCTCATTCTACTGCTTCTAGTCTATATATACGCCCAACACTTATAGGAATAGATGTAAGTATGCACATCTTAAAAGAAAAATTCTAATATAACGTCTTATCTTAAAGATAAAGAATGTTAATCAATTGAACGATATGAATAATAATCGTGTCATTGATGTCACAGACGTCATAAAAACAGATACATATAAAGTAAGCAATATATTTCACAATACTTAATGATAATACACGATAAAGTAGTCTTTAATGCTCTTTTGTTGGAGTAGGACTATAAGATACACTTAGACATTGTATTGTAGAAAAGAACAAGAACTAGTGATTAAAAGTTAAGAAGATAAAAATTAATATACAAAGCCTTAAATGTTCAATGAAGTATATGTCGTATCTTTATGCCATTAGCTCTTTATTTAATATGAATGAATAGAAGTGTATCTTTTTTCAAACATGAATAATATTAGCATATAATGGTACTTCTGATTCCATTGATGTAAAATTTCGAATAAAAATGTATTTATGTCATATATTTTTTATAAATTGTACTTCGAAAGGTGTGTATGCATCGTTGCTTACAGATGATGCAACATTTTTATTAGAAGAAGTCATCTCAATGAAGAAATAATCATAGATAATTAATATTTTTATACAAAAGATATTTAATGTAAATATCAATGAGAATATTCAACCAAGAATATAAAAAGAACTTTATGTATATATATTATAATTATTTTTACATTTTTACATCTTTATCTAGCCCACACTCGGTGTTGCATCTTCAGAATCTGCTTTACTCTATATTATTTTGTCACCTGTTGGCTCTTACTTTAACAAAACAAAAGAAAATATTGGCATATCTTTACTGGCTGATCCCCAATATACAAGAGCATGGCCAGGTGGTTGTGGTAGCTACAAAGTAGGTAGCAATTATGGGCCTACTATATATGTACAAAAGGAAGCTATAGAGAAGGGTTTGCAACAAGTATTATGGCTTTATGGAGAAGATAATGAAGTAACTGAGGCCGGGACTATGAACATTTTCATGTTCTTTATAAATGATGATGGTGGTGAGCATCATTTTACATTTTTCGTTTAATTGCTTGTTCCACAACTATATAGTTTCACTGTATAATTTCATATTACTTTTATAAATATGTTATAATTTCAGAAAAAGAGTTAATAACACCACCATTAACAAGTGATTTAATTCTTCCTGGAGTTACAAGAAATTCTATTTTAGCATTAGCCAGAGAATGGAATCAATTTAAAGTCAGTGAAAGGAAATTTTGTATGAACGAAGTTTGTCAGTTACTTTCAGAAAACAGAGTAAGATATCCTATCTTAATTATTCTTTATTTAAAATTTGTTTCAACTTCATAGAAATTACAATTTTATTTTAGTTGTTGGAAATATTTGGAGCAGGAACAGCTTGCATAATTAGTCCTGTATCTTACATAGAATATGTTGGACAACCATTGCATATACCAACGATGGAGCACTCTAATCCTGTTTACAAAATGTTCTTGAAACATTTAACTGATATACAATATGGTATTATACCGGATCACCCTTGGGTGATACCTATCGAATGAATATAGAATAATCCATTTAATTATTTATTACATAATTGTAACCAAAAGCGACTCCATGCAATTTTTAACATCGATTGTATTATATTTAAAAGAATAGTTGTTAGGAGTGTCACAATTTTGTTGTTGCTAGCTTCATGCGAATGTTGTTGTGAATGAATTCTTATTTATTTACACATGGAACTGATTTTGTCAAAGGCATGTAAGAAGTGAGCATGTATTGGAGATGAAACTCAGGGATCAATTGTTTCTTACAGAAGCAAAGCAACTTTTTAATAGTGAGCTATAAAGACTAATGTGTTGATTTGTGTGTGTGTGTGTTGTACGTTGAATGACAATTCGTACTTACGAATATGTGTGTGCGTTTCTACATAGAAATATAGATGTATTGTATATATTTTTTATATTACTTATTTACACTATCTTATGTAATTTTAATAATTTTTCTATGGTACAAATTATTTATTCCATGTTCTACCTCACCGGTCAAGAAGGACAACAAGAAAAGAATATGCTATAAAAAGCTTTTCTTTACTTGGTAGATAGTCTGTATGTCTGAAAAAGGTTTTTGTTCATATGTGTATTATCTCAATAAAAGTATAAGTTCATAAACACTTCTTAATGAAGAATAGATATTTATTTCCTGGGGAACGCAATTAATAAATTGAAGCAAAGACGATTATCTAAAATTGTATAAACTACCTAACATACAATTTTTCATTACATCGTTTGAAAGTATAATTATTATTTTCATGTCAAAATAGAATGAGATCATATTACTAATCGTTGTAATATCAAGTCTACAGAAACTTCTTGTTATAACGGTATGGTGTAACGTTTTACCGCTCATTTTCAAATCGCCCCTAAGCATTGGCATATTCCGGTTAACTCCGGTACGAACGTATTTACATTCCCCCTCTCGTTCCTACGGCTGAAAGTACCGGAGGAAGTAAATGTGCGTGTAGTTGGGTCGTTTGACCGCTAGAGGCGGTAATTCATAAATCGTGCAGTTTGCTGAATTTTCTCATCGATGACCTTTCTATTCATTATTCGTCTTTGATTCGCACAGCGAGTAAGTTCTTTCTAAGGGTTAAATTTTGTGAAAAGAAAAAACATGTACGCGATTCAAAACGCAGTTAGAAAAGTACCGAGATTACTAAATGTATGTCAGAATCAACGTAGAACAATTCTTGCTACACCACCAAGGGTTAGGATACCTTTTGCCGTAAGTACTATTTTTGTTAAATGCACTTACATAAGAAACTGACGGCAGCAATTAAATATTTATTTTGAATCAAAAAATTTGTCTACTATAAGGACAGTGTTCTGTTTACAGTTCGAAAAGCATTTTCGTCAACATTTATATCGGTAATTCATATATAAGGTTATGTTATGTAACAGGCTAATTGATTTTTGGGGCGTTTTTATTAAATTTTGCAAATATTAATAATCTCTTAAAATTGTACGATTGTTTTTAATAAAACCAATATATGAATTAATTTGAGCTACATAAAAGTATTTATTAGTCCGTTCAGTATATTTATTTAAGGATATAGATAAACTTTATACATTATTATTGTGAAAAAGCGTAAATTTCAAATGCAAAGAATTAATTAAGTTTTATGTTTGGATGATATAGCATATTATATATTTAACTTTAGTTATATATGATACATTGTTGGAATAAAATTTATGCGAATATAAAAGTATAAAAGGTTGATAAATAACTTAAAATTAATTATAACGATAATTACTTAGGCATTTGATTTAAAATGACATTCTTGATGTATTTTACATATATGTAGTATCGTTATAATGATAATATCTGTAACATTATAGACCGTTTAAACTATATAATTGGCAATAATATCTTTTTCATTGCAGGAAAAAGTGGCATTTGGTATAGCTATATGGATCGGAGTAATGGGGGTTCCGCTGTACATTTCGTGTAATGTAAATAAATATAACGCTCAAAAAAAGGGATAGACGATCTTTTGTAGCTGTATTCTCAAATTTGTAAAGTAAATAACTATTACAAAAAGTAGGAGAATGTGTATCATATACTTGAAATAAATATGAAATTAGATAAAGTAGTTTGTAATCGATATTAGACATTTTCTATCTGCATTTTAGAAATTTGCAGATTAAAGATTAAACCCTTGACATACCAACGACGTTTGGGATATGTAATTTGTTTATTGTATGCTATGTACACAATGAACGTATAGAGTTTCATTCTATTTATATATTAAGAGGTTAATTCATTATAAGGAATCACTTATCTCAAAATATTTCGTTTTATTCATTGGTTGTTCAAGAATTAAATTTGTCTTTTATTCTACGTTTTTTTTTTTTTTTTTTTTTTTTGTGTAAATGAGTTGCACGAACAGTTGAAGAGTCGCAGTCTTACATATACGTATATGATTGTACAAAAGTTTAGTACCATAAAAATATCAAGTATATCATTTTGCTAATAAAATATATGTATAAACAATAATAAGATATGTAAAATTTACATTTTAGCGGAAAAAGGCTTTCTTATATTTTATTTGAAAAGGGATTTTAATCTAACGATATTATAATCAAATAAAGAATATAGCAGTTTGTTTATTTTAGTACAAATTTATGTTATTGATTTATTACATAGAATCATCAGATCAGATAGTCACTCAGCAATGTCCAGTTGTGGGAAATACTGTAAAGAGCAACTCGCGATAGTTGTACACTCAAGTGGACACGTACCTTAAAATTCGTAACGTTACATTTAATTCAAAAATATATCGAGTGTTTATACATATTTTGTATATATATACAGAAATTCGATATATTTTCACATTTTGCGTATATTTGTACATCTTGGAAATCTCATTAACTTTTATATGTATTTGCACCGTTGTATCGTTAGAGCTACAAAGTTACGAATATTCACCTTAAATTTACGTACGATGTTGTTAATTTGTTTATTCGGAAACTTTATGACAGTGTCTAAAATTTATACTTCATTATAATGTCATTTATATCGGAATGTTAGGTACACTTTGAATTTTCGTCACTTTTTTTATTGTTACTTGACTGTATTGCATCGAAATTCGATGTTTAACTCGGCCGTATTAGGAATATATTACGCGGTTTTCCGACAATCTTCGAAGCAAGTACAGACATAGGACGGATCCTGTTTTAGGCTGGATCTAGAAGCGTTGTTCAAAAGCGAAAGTTGATCGATTCGGCTGCTGGATTTTCGACTCGTCAATGATCGGGAATGTGTCTTCTGTCGCGACGACTGTGTCTTCGTTTTTTGAAACACGTGGCACAGCATTTATCCTGCACGATCAATGACACATCGCACATGCGCCTATATGACGCGCACATTGAGGCTGGGACAATAGTATCCTTGCACTCTGAAACAGTTTTATTTGTTTTTACGTTACATATCTAAAGAAACCTAATCATAATTAGTTGATAGATTACATCGAAATCTTTCTCTTTTTATTAGTTCTGTCTAGTGTAAACTGATAAGAAGGAATATATTAAAATGCAAGAATTAGCAAGAATCAGCATCAATGCTAGCTTGTATTATTGCGAGTCGTTAAACGAAGCTCTTACACACACACACATACAAGCGCGCGCGCGTAACTATGATAATTAATATCATAGAAGAAACGAAGGAAGAAGATACTTGCGGAGAAGTGTATCGTAAACCGTTCGCTTGAAGACATTAATTCCCGGTATACGTACACTGTGGTTAATGATCCGTGAAAACTGTTGCTTTCCAGATACGCATTAAAGGGGCGAAAGAAAAGAAAAGAAATAACGAGTTTCCATGCATACGTTCAGGTAGTTACGGATATCCTTTAATGACCGATTCCCTCTGGCGTGTGCAATTACCAGATTTATCGTTCGCGCATTGCCGCCTATGATAACAACGCCTCGTATCGATCGGCTTTCTCTCGGGGTTGCAATCGTCGGACAGTAATTCTGTTATACGATCACGACACTCGACTTCCCTTCGCTTAACGCCGACTCTCACGAGGCAGCTCGCGTTGCAGGACTCCCATTTTCCTGTAAGCATGCCCATAAAGACGGAGGTTTTATACGCTCGATCGTCTCCTTGTTGTCTTTGGCAACGGGCCAGGCTTCAAAAAGATATTATTAGCAGCACGGATAAACTCGATTACCGTCTTAGCGTGACATAAACGACCAACCATGAAAATAATTATGCTGTCTTAATCCGACTCGACTTATTGGCCTTTTTTAATTCTTACGTGACTCTTTGGATATACGCGAGCAACTTGTTCTAGTTATAGATTGAAAATAAGAAGGATAACAGTATATTTTATGCCATGATAATGAATAACTCACCGGTGATCCATCTCCCACCTTGGCAAAGTTCGATGGTGGCCGGCTTGTTTTCTGGATTACAGTCTCCTTGCATCGAGCAGGTCACCTTCCTAGTTCTCTTACCATTCGTACAATGACTCCATTTCGAGACGATCCACTTCGACTTGGTATTATACATGGAATTATCTGGATTTTCATCGACCACATTGTCGAATTCGAGGATCTCTGGCTCCTCGGTAGTAAGACTATCGACGATCGTGATTCCATTTTGATCGTTGGAGCTCACGTTGTAGAAAGAGGCATCCTTGTTGTCCGCGTAGACGATCAATGGTGGTTCGGTGGAGCTGCAAGGGGGTAAGTTTAGACACGGGCTGACCTCTTCGGGTCTCACGTCCCGGTTACAGTCTCGATCGGGCAGAGCCAAATCCGATCTATCGGGGCCCACTCCCGAAGAGACACACATCACCGATCGTTTTCGAAGAGCACCCTCTCCGCACGATACCGGGCACATTTGCCATGGACCGATCCACCATCTAATTTTGGCAAAACGAAACAATCGATTATCGTTTGAGTATATTATTCGAATTCGTTATTGTCAAATTCGTTCGAGTTAATTAAAACGAAAAAGAAAAGAAAAGCTGTTATGTATCTTTTTAACAAAAGCGAAAGTCAACGAATCAAGTTGCATTGGATGTCGCATTGGAGCGGTCGGAACGTCGAGTCGAACGATAAATAAAATTTGTCTGTGGTCAGATTCAATGTACCCCCATATTATCGCGACCGAGAAGCTTTAATCCGATTTTTCCTATACCATGGAGGCTGGGCTTTCGTTTTACCTGGCTGGGCATGGATTCAGATTGCATTCTCGCAAAATCGATTCCGGCTTTTCGATGCCCTCGCAAAAGTGGTCCTCGACGACCCCGCTCTTCTTCTCGTTGCAGAGTGCTTTGGAGGTTTGCGTGCCACCGCCGCAAGTGGCCGTGCACAGCGACCAGTCGGAAAATACCCACGAGTATTCCGGTGCCCGATCAGGCTCCTTTTTCGGCACTGTGTACTCGTATCGCAGCCCGAAATTCCGATAATGTCCTCTGGAAATCAACTGAAGTGATGGGACAAAATTATTGAGAATGGGAAGAAAGTAGCTAAAGAATTCGTAGCGAATATACGTGTCCACGCTCGAAGAATCGAGGAAAAAGCGAATGAGACGGATAAGCAATTTGTCGAGAGGAAGCATACGTGGAATAAAACGAAAAGAAAAGAGTTAGTTAATTAGTTACTATTACGTACATAGACTGCGATGTCCTCTTTGATCGGGCCAGGAATTCTGACCTTTTCTCTGTCGCGATCGCGCTCGTACAGAGCTGGAGTTCCGGCCACTTGGTATTCCCCTGCTAAAGTGATCTGCCTGTTCAATTGGAATGAAGATCATAGCTCTAGATCGTAATATCTCTCCAACGTCTTTTACTTTTCATTCGGAATTTATTATTTCGTTAGCCGATACAAAGAGATACACAATCAATTGGATTATCGATATTAACGCGATCGATATAACGTAACCGACGATGAACACATCTTGGATTATTACTTACCGTTTTCCATTAAGGAAATATTTGTCGGAATTTGGCACACCTATTCCAATGTAATTTTTGCTGTTTCCAATTTCTTCGATTTTTATATTTCTCGATCCATTGGGGACAACGACCACTTCCTTGTATCCTGGACCGTCGTTTTTGTCGTAAATTCCGCCTGTCGTTTCGCATTGAGTTCCATCGCCATGGCAGATTCCACAACGATCTTCCGTGGCATCTGAATCGACCGTCCAATCACAGCCAACTTTCTACACCGTTAATTACAATCGAAAAATAGAGAACAGAATAGAGAAGGAAAGATACGGATATTGTTGAAAATATCGTCTAGAAAAATAGACTGACTCGACAGATTCCAGCAATGCACATGTCTCTGGTACCGACGTTACAGGGTGTGCCATCGAGAGCGGCTTCACCCCATGGAACGATCACGCTTTCCTCTGTGTCGGTGCAATATAGCTCGCAGGGTTCCGCTTCAATTAAGGACGATATTCATTAGTGTTGTACGGATTCAAGTCGAATGGAATATCGAACGATCGTAGATTACTTGGCAAAAAGTAACTTTCAACTGTTTATTAAATTCGATGATATTTTACTGTCAAATAGCAAGGAACCGTTTAGCGTTATTTACAGCATTGTTTATTGCGAAAAGTACTCGTCCGTAGTATCTTCGACGAAAGAGTCCAAAAACTAGTGGCTTACTCTGATCGAAATACGGCAGCCAAGTGTAATTCTTCCCTTTGTATTCTTTGCCGTCGTAATGGCTGCACTGAACTGCTCTGAAACTGGCCGTCTCTTCCGGGCACGGATCGGTGTTACAGATTTTATATCGACGTCTTTCCCCGATGCAGAATTTACCACCGTGCGCTGGTTCCGGATGGTCGCATTTCCGCTCGACGATCGAAACGCCCGCACCACAGGTTCTCGAACACTCGCTCCAAGAGCCCCACTCGCCCCATCCGCCGTCGATTTGACGCGGTTTGTCCACAATTGGCACGCATTCCTGGTTCTGACACCACTACGGCAAAATTCGCGCGCGTTATCGAAAATCAGTTTAATGGCTGGTTGACTTATTTATTCTATTTTTATCTATTTTTTTTTTTTTTTTTTTTTTTTTTTTTTTT